AAATGAATCTTTCTAAACGTCTCGGCAGCCCACTCGTTTCCTCGTCAGAAGGAGAGGAAACAGTCGTTGTTCGTGCTTAAGGGAAAGCAGCGTGTGTGGGCCGCGTGTGGAAGAAGCCGTGGGAAGCCGCACGCCTGCTGCAGGTGGCTTCCTGTAGGTGTGTGTCTCCATGTGAACAAATCCGTCCAAGGAACCGCGTGGAGGTGGCGAGGCAGAGCGCTTGATTGATCGCAGGTAGCAGGTAGTTGGTGCCCATGTTGTTATTTGTGTCTCTGCACCTACACTCCAGGGCCCACACAATCGGCTGTTGCAGCATTTTGAAGGCATATTGCCATGGAAACACTCGTACAGTCATGCTGTCCTCTTTCGAGTGCACATGCCAAGGCCGAGTGAGCTGATGCAGCGGACCAGGCCCCAGGTGGCCTCACCGTTTCCTCCCACCTGCTGCAAACCCCAAGGAAGAGTAAATAAAGACCACTTGGCTCTGTGAAGGCTGCTGGGCCTGGAGTTCCCTCCTCCCTGCTGCTGTGTGTGCGACGGGGAGGGCCAGTCATGGGGGACAGTGATTTGGCCCTCTTGGGCCTTTGCCTCAGTAGCACAGAGTCAAGTCTGAGCCATCGGAATCCCGGGCAAGGAATGATTCCATCCTAAGCCCGTTAAGTGGGGCTGAGCGCTGCCCAGGAAGGCTGGGGGTGTGGGTGCCAGCTGGGGTGCTGAAGCTTGAGCGGTGGGAAGGGCATCCCTGGGGAGGGCTGTCCTGGTGTGGGGTACTGGGGCCCCAGGGGGAGATGAGGGCCTCTGCCCTGCATGGGGTTCGGGGCCCAGCATGGGGTGGCAGAAGCATCTGTGCGGGGCAGGAGGTGGTGACTATGGCGGATAGATTACACACCAGAAGATCAATTGAATAAGTAAAAATATCATAAATAATGGGAGTCTGGTATTTTAGTGTCAGAGAAAGGAGATACAAACACAGAAAGGGAGAAAACTAGAGTAAACCCCATAGTATTGGGTTAAAAGTGGCGTCACGTGAGCTCATACTTGACAGTATGTATAGCCAGATGAAGAAATAAAGGTTGCAGAAGAGTGTAAATGTGCGCACACACGTTCCCCAGCTCCCTCCAGCCTGGGAGCACTGACACCCAGAGCGACGAGCACACCCAGCCCAGATCTGAGTTCCTAAATGCCGTTGTCCGTGATGTGGGATCGGGGAAAACAGCTGATTCCAGAACAGAGGCACGGAAGCACAAGACGAGTCTTGTGCCAGAAAGTGTGACAGTTCTCAAAAAGGGAAAGAGGCTTGTCGAAGGGACACAGAAGCCAGCTCGCAGGGGCTCCCAGTGTCCAAGTTAGGGACAATTTGCGTATCAAAGTAGTGACACGTGGCCAGCAAGTGCACGTCAGTGTGTTGGGGGGGGGATGAGGTGTCCTGTCCACAACTTACCCTCAAATGGCTCAGGGAAATAAACATGCTTATTTGCACCTTTTCTGTGAACTTGTGTTTCGAAGGTTAAAAGAAAGAAAAGGGAGCAAAGATGGAGGAGGGGGAGGGGAAATTACAAGAGCACAAAGCAGGGGAGGGAGGCCTGGAGTGTGCACCAGGGGGTCGGGGACCGTGCGCTTCCTCTTCTGGGCAAGGTTCAGAACCAAGCCTCCTCCGAGGTGGGGACTGCTCACCGCACACTCTGCTGCGGATGGCTGCAGGGCAGTAGCCCTCTGCTAGCCGGGGGAGCCAGCGAGGCTGCAAGAGAGACAGAGGAGGGGTGAGGGGCTGAGCAGACCCTCAGAGGTCAGCCTGTACAGAGGAGGGAATGGTCGAATGTTCTCTGGAAGCCCCTTAGGGCTGAGGGCCAGGGCTCGAGACCCCTGAGAGGGGATCTGGTCCTGCACCTGTTCGCCTCTTCCCCAGGAGGTTGTGACTTTCAGACTTGACAGGCTCTCACGGGGCTCCCACGTCATCCACATGAACACACTTGGGAAAGTGGACAGGAACCAGAGCCGAGACCAAAGGTTCTGGCCCAGCTCCATCGCCCGCCTCTCCTAGCCTCAATTTCCCCATCTGATAAATGGGGGAAGCCTCTCGCCACATTTCACAGAGCTGGGAAGAAGGAGATCGGATGCCACCCTCGCAGAGAAAGAACTGGCTCGCGTCCTTTGTCCATCTGTAGCAGGCAGATAGCAAGGCCACCTCTCTGTCCCTTCTGCCTAGGCCAAGCCCTTTTCTGAGGGGTTCACAGAAGAGACCTGGCTCCCCAAGGTCTCTTGTCTTCCCTAGTGAACCAAGAGAGGCTGGACACCAAGCCAGAGGTCCGGGTATCTGAGCAACACTTCCCAGGCTCAGGCCTCCGGGCCTCAGCCCTGCTTGCGGCCACTCCAGGCGTCGCCGCCCGTCACCCCAGCCTGTCCCTCCACCTTCTGCCCACTGCCATCGCTGCACCTCTTCTCTCCCCTCCTCCCCTAGCTGAGACTCCATGGTCCTTTATGGCCATTGAATTCTGGCTCCTCTCTCACCACGTGTCCTGTCAGCAAAGCCCGGCCCGCACCTTGCACCCCACTCGCACCCAGGCTGCCGCGTGGGCAGAGAAGCGTCCCCACCATGAGGACAGTCACGCTGCCACCGCGCACACATCTCCACAGGCGCTGGCCCAGCGTGTCTGTGTCCCCTCCCCCCAAGACCGCTGCCACCCGTGTCCCTTTCTCCTCCCCCTTCACTGAGAAAACGGAAGCAACAACCCAGGGCCTTCCCACCACCGGCCCCCGCTGCGTGCGCCCGCCACCCCGCTTTCCCCGCTACCACGGTTGAACTGTCCCTTCTCCAAGATTAAGGCCACCCTCCGCCTGTGCTCCAGAGCCCACCCCCCTCTTACCTTCTCAAGGTCCTTGCTCCTAGATTTACTTTTTCCTTAATCTACTGCTTGTCTGTCTCTCTACTGCATCTTTGAGTCATACGCACATTTTCACGTCTCTATCTTTACAATAATAAAAATAAAAGCTCCCCCCCTTGATCCCATAAGCCCCTACAGCTGCTATTCCATTTTTCTGTTCCCCATCGCAGTAGCAAGAGTTATTTATGGTCCTCCCTTACGTTCTTCTTGCCTGTGACCCACTTCAGCCCATTCTCCAAAAGGAAGTCTCCTCCTTTGCTTAAAATCCTCCAAAAGGCTTCATCGCCCTGAGAATAAAACGCAGCCTTGCTTTCCTAGTGTACAGCCCTACGTGATCTGGCCCCTGCCTCGCTCTGGTACCCCCTTTGCTCTTGAGGATCTGCCCACGGAGCCTTCTTTTTGTTCCCTGGGCATGCCGAGCTCAGTCCTGCCCGGAGGAACTTTGTACTGGCTGTGACTCGTCTGGGACTCTTCCCCTGAGTTTTGTCAGCCTGGCTCCTTCATGTCATTCAAAACTGAGCTTAAACGTGACCTCCTCAGAGAGCATCTAACCAGATGCCTGTCACCAGCTGATGGTTTTCTCTGAGTCTGCTTCATTCATTGTCTGGAACCCCCTTCCCCCACCTAGAGTGTAGATTCCATGAGGTCAGGGGTTTCACCTGCCTCGTGCCCTGCTTTATCCCAGAGCCCGGCTCACGGTGGCATTCATACAAGTTTGTTGGATGAATAATGCTCCTGCCCTTTCCAAGAGTCTGCGGCGGTGGGTCCAGCAGCGAACAGGACAGGTGGCAGAGCTGAGGCCACACAGAAGTCGGTGTTTGATAGTGTGTGCAGGTGGGCTCTCGCTTGTGCCTGGCTTCTTAGGTCTGACTGAAAGGGGCATCAGGGCAGCAGCTGCTCCACAGGGGAGCAGAAGAGTTCCAGTGGTTGGTGCGGGGCATGACCAGGGCTTTATTCCATGAGCTGAGGGTCCCGCAGCACAGAGAGGGAAGGCCCTGCTGACTCCTCGGAGCCTTGGCTCGGCAGAGCCTGCCGGTGAGACTCAGTGCCCAGCCTCCCTCAGGAGGACGCTGAAAGCAGACTCCTTGGTCCCCAGCCCGGCTTCTTGTTCCAGCCTCTCTTTTCCCCTGCCCAGGCCTGATAACTGGCCCCCCAACCTAGACCCCTCTCAGAATGTCCTTCCCTTCCAGCCCCAGCCTTTCCACCCTTGGGAACTGCACGTAAGTGCTCACTTTTGGAATTAACCTTCCCCGGGTCCACTGCTTCAGGCTGGCCTCTGCCAGCCCTGTCTCTGCTCCAACTCACCCCCACCCCACGCTGTGCCTTCTCATCCTTGGCTCCCTCGCCTTGACTTCACTGCAAGCTCCCGGCCTCCTACAACCTCAGCACCCAGCAACACATGCACAGAGTTCTGTGTGCCCTGCCCGCCCCTCGCAGTTCTCCCAGCACTGAGCACAGGGCCTGGGACTGCAGCTAAGCTTGCTGATGGGAGAAAGCTACATGGAGATCTCCTGGGCAGGCACCCTGCAGGTCTGAGTGTACGAAAGATGGGTTCCATCGAGAAGGGGCTGGGGACGCCACAGTCCACGGGAAAGGAGTGAGGGGGGAGGGAAGGGGACACACCTCTCTTTATAATCAGACTCCAGCTTGAAAAGCAGCCTAATTGCCAAGACAGCCCCATCAGCAACAGGGCCTGCAGGCAGTGGAGGACCACATCCTGGGGTCTGCCAGGATGCCACTGGGAGGGTGACAGAGAGAGGCAGGGCTGGGGCTGGTGGAGAGGGAAGAGGAGGAGGAGGGATAGCAGGCATTTTGCAAAAATCCACAGGCTACCTCCTGCTGGGGCCAAGCAGAGGAGACAGCAGCTGAGGATGTAACCACAGGCTGTGCTTGCTGAAAGCTGACATGGGACCAACGTGACCTTGGCTGGCACTGGAGGGTGGGAACCTCAGCACCCCATGGCTGCAGTGCTGCTGACGGGGGCCTCAGCTAGGCACTCTGCCTCCCAAATCCAAGTGCTCTGCACTTTTCCCTCTTATGCTGGTCTATGCGCCCAAACGAGAAAGCACAAGCCCCTCACCCCCCATCCACAGGGAAATACTCGCAGGTATGCCTTACTGTTGTCCAGATGGTTGGCCTTAATGATCTTCTCTGAGTAGTCAGAAATACTGGAGCATTCAATCTAGAAAGGGCACAGAACAAAGGAGCAAGGTGTCAGGAAAACCCCCGCACGTCCAACAACAGTGTCATGGATGGAGAGGCCAAGGCCCAGAACTGAAGCTCAGCCCTCCTGACTCAAGACCAGCAGCCTTCCACTAAACTGGGCCACCTTTGCCAGGAGACTAGAACCTGGCCGCTGCCCGTGTGCAGGACCTGGTCTCTGTGATGGAGGCAGGAGGAGCGGGCAGGCCTCCCCCTCCCCAGAACAGGACGCAGCGCAAGCCCCTGCACTCCCAGGACAGGCGTGAGAAGGCAGAGCCGCGGCCGAGGTGCTGCGTCCTCCCCCAGCCTGGCCCTCCCAGGACAAAACGGGCACTTTCCAAGACAGGAGCATCTGGAGGATGCCAGGGCAGGACCTCAGGGCCAGGCTTCAGGTCTTCCCCTTCACAGACGCGTACATGCACACGCAACTCAGCTCCCACCCCTTCTACAGACACCACCTCTGAAAGAATTTATTCCTTTTAGTCTGGAAGTTTTTCCTGGCTCCCCAAATCCCCTAAGCAAAGGAAGGACCACGGTATTGGAGAAATTAGTTGGCCATCGGCTGAGAGCAGGACCTCATGGGATGGGTGGATTCCCGGCCTCTATGGGGGTGAGAGGCTGGGCGTGCAGCCAGGAGGTCAGGGGCTGGAAAGAGACGGGCAGCTGCTGGGGAAGGGACTGTTCCCTTGAGACACCCGAGGGAGTTGCTGACAGCCCGTCCACGCCTCGAGGCAGGGCGAGGGCCCTGCGACCTGTTAGAGCTGCCTCTAAAGGACAGACGGCAGCAGGCTTGGGTCCCAGAAGGACCAGCTCTTTCCTGGCTACCAGGTCCCCGCCTCGGGTCCCTCGGGAACCCTCTCACCCCGCTCTGGTCACATTATCTTCCCATCTACTCGTCTCTACTGAGTTTAGCCGAGAGCAAGGTGGGAGACGAGCCAGGCAGCCTGAGTCGCGTCGGGCCTCTGCCGCTTCCTGGCTGCTTCAGCGTCCTCGTGAGGAAAGTCGCCGTCCCTGCTCCACGTGACTGCTGTGAGCACGGCTGGAGGCCGCGCAGCACCAGGACGTCCTCGCTTCCTCTGTCTCCCCATCTTCCTTTTCTTCCCCTGCCCGCCTTCCTTTTCCTCTTCGCTTTCCCACTCTTCTGTACTCTGCTTTGTTTTATTTCTCCTTCTTGGATCTCCCTCCCATTTCTCTAGCTTTTCCCTGAGTCTCCTTGTCTTTCTGTCCCTGCCCGTCTGTCTCCACTTTCTGTCTGACAGTGGCCTGCCCCCTGCCTCCCTCCTGCCACCCCATCTCCCTTCCTCTCTCTCGCTCTCCTCCCCCCACCCCTGTCACCCCGTCTTCCCCACTGGAGAAGGGCAGCGGGGGGCAGGGGACCTGGGACAGGGGAAGCTGTGAAATGAAGCGGCCGAGAGAAGCCCAGCTCGGTGCGCCGCGGCGTTCATGAAGGAGCCGTTGGAGAAAAGAGCGGCAGGCAGGCAGATCCTGCCCGGTCACCACAGCTGGAAGGCGCCGAGGGGGAGCCTTCTGACAGCTCATTGGCAGCAGCCCCCGGATGACTCGGGAGCCAGGGACAGCAGCCCTGCTTTCCTGTCCTCACCGCTGTCCCCATCGAGGCTGGAGCTGAAATGGGGCCTCAGCACTGGGAGAGAATGGGAGCGGGGGTCACCAGGTGGCCTCAAGTCCAGCTCCACGCTCTGTGGCCTCCATGACAGTGGAGTCTGCCCCTCACCTGAGGGCTCCGTCGTGGTGGGCCAGTGATCATACAAATGGCGACACCCCTTGCTCTTGGGCATCCAGACAAACCCCTACCCTCCAGCTGAGCGCTCACCGCTTCTCCCGGGCAAGGCTGCATTCGAGTCACCTCGAGGACAGCCCAAGCTCCCACAAGACCCTCGACAGCCATGGCCCAAGTGCTTTCCAAGTCAGACAGCAGGAAGAAGGCTGTGCCTGCGGGGTGACTTGGGGCAAGCCTCTGGAGGCAGGGCGTAGCTCTGGTCAGCCTGGGAGCCTGGGGTTCCCCAGGGCAGGCTACAGATGGCCCTGCTAAATGCACAGAGCACGAGCACCCTCTGCCTGCCGCTCAGCTCACCATGGGGCTCTGCACACGGGCCGGCTCGTCCCCGTGCTGGGAGTCGGACTGAAGTCTGCCTGTCATTTCGACCAAGACAGTGCCCACACTCCATCCCCGGGCCCACTGCCTCTTCTGTCAGTCAGAAGCTCAGAGCTCTTCTCTTTCACAGCGAGTGACATGCTCACCCCAAACACCTTCTTGGCCCCGGCTTTGGCAGCAAACATGGAAAGGATCCCTGTGCCACTCCCAACATCCAGCACCACTTTGTCCTTGAACACGTGCTTGTTGTGGTACATGGAGTTCCGGTAGGTGAGCGTCCGCACCTCATCCTTCAGCATTTCCTGTGGTGGGAGGAAAGAAAAGGCAACATCAGCATCGTGAAGGCACCTGGGACTGCACCAGGCTCACTCTTCAAGTCTCAGTGATCTCACCAGCCAGAGCCACAGAGGAGCACTGTAGGGCAGCTGGGCCAGGCTGCCTGAATCATTCCAAAGAAGCCCAGCCTTACGACTCTGCCCAGAAAGATGTACCATTGGAAGAGAAATTCATGTCCAGACCGGGGAAACCTCCAATTTATAAAAGAACAGAAGGAAAGATCAGTAGAGCACAGCATGAGAGATTTAAGTTAGATCTGAAGCAGAACTTTCTGTCATGGTGAGAGAATTGTTGTTGAACAAATTATTGGAGGAGGTTTTTGTGGGTGTATTTTTTGTTTTGTTTTCTTGTTTTTAGACTGGAAAACGTATCCCTCTATCTAGCATTAAGTCCTTTGTAGTGAGAGAGAAGCCAGATGAACTGTTACAATCGTCTCCAGCCCAAGAACATGATGAGCCTACGTATGGTAATGAGGCAGGGATCGGCCATTCAAGAAATCAGCAAACACTTGATTAATTCGTCACCAACACTGTTGGGGTGATTTTTTTTTTTTTTTTTTTTTTTT